TTACTTCAAATAAATCCTCTCAAAGTAGGTTAACCCTACAAAAAGTTCTAACGTAAACATGGCATAAGACTCTCATATATGTGTTTAGAAGATATATGTTTAGTAGGTTTTATGCATGATGATGCATCCATCCAACCCATCGACCAACCAACCAACCTTCCATCTATGCATGCATGCTTCTTGCATCCATCCATGTATCATCATTACCCAACATTATGACCATCATTACTTTTAGTTATTCAAAGAAACATTTTCAATGTGATTATTTTCTCTTTTGTGCCCCACCTGACCGGTCTTGGCCATCATTGTCATTATCATTTACCTAGACCGACTGCACCTCTCTCTCCGCTCTCTCTCTCTCTCAGGAGATTGGTTACTTGAAATGCGCTTTAACAATTTTAAATGCATTAAATGGGTCTATAAATCGAGAGTGTAACCAAAGAAGGAAGATTCTCTATCTGTCTGTTGTAGTTACAGTAGGTGATGGCTGATTGAGAGCAAAGGTTGCTGCATTGTCTGTATGTGGCCTTGTTTATATGTGTGTGTGTTTGTGTTTGTATGTAAATTGATAAAGCATGGAACTTGATGCATGCATCATGGGTCCATTACTGTAACATCCAGTTACAGAAATAGGCCATATATAAAATTTATGTGAATCGGTGTGTGTGTGTGTATGTGTAAAAGTGTGTTGTAGACATTGATACGAATACGATTTATGTACATCCTCCCTACATTTGTAAATGTAAGCTGGTATCTTACACAGGATAGGATTTTGAGGGATAGGGGCCTTAAATTATGTGTTCAAATTTAGATTTTTGGCAGCAAAATCTAGAAGGTCACAGTGTTCGTTTGAAAATGGAGTATATTGGTCCACATTTAGGTATAGCCCTTAATGATAAATGTACCACCAGATTCTCAGTATTTTGTAGATTTCCGCCTAAATTTCTTCCATGTATTTGGTACCTTTTCCTACACTTGTTGTACACTCTTCCAGAAAGACATTTTTTACACTAAAATTTAATATTCTACCGTTTTCCATTTTCCCAAAACGAAATTGTACCAAATTTTGTAACATTTGGTACAGTTGTTATACTTAGTTCACACTACCAAAACCACTTCCCTATATCAACCCTACTTCCTAAACTTGGGTTACTTAACGAATTTCTTACATTACCTTTATTCAAATTGAGTGCAATTGGGTACTTTGGTCACGCTTATTGCTTGGATTTCCATAAATCCTTTTGTTCATCAATTCTACACAACATCTAAGACAACCAATCCAAATTTTTAGCTCTATACCCTCCCTAAATACCAAATTTAATAACATTTAGTACTTTTCGTACGTTTTCTGAGATCTGAAAAGTGACCCTAATACCAAATTTCAGATTTTCAGCTCTATCCCTTGCTCATATACCAAATGTAGAACCATTTGGTATTTTCTTTTTAGTACACTCTAACAATTTCTCTGTTTTAATATTTTAAATTTCCAACTTCATCCATTCGTCCAGATCCAAATTGTACCAAATTTAGTAACATTTGGTACAGTTCTGTGTGCGCATTTTAAAAACCACTTGCTTATATCAGCTTTACTTTCCCAACTTAAATGTTTATATTTTAGCTCTATATTCACATAATATCAAATGGGTACCGTATATAGCATTTTAGTACACTTTTAGTTCGAATTTCAAAAAAAAAAAACCCTTACACCCCAAAAACGACCTTCATTCTAAATTTGCGATTTCAGCTCATTCCTTCCTAGTACGTTTTGGATTTATTGGTACGTTTTTCAAAATCCACCTCATTTTTCAGCTACACCTAACAAGTGACCTTCATTCCATATTTCAGGTTTCCAGCTCTATATCTTCATCATATACCAAATTTAGTACCATTTAGTACTTTTCGAACCCTTTTTGGTAAATATTTTAAAAACCACCTTCAATCTCCATCTTATACATTAACAGTGACACCAATTTCAAAATTTCAAATTTCCAGCTCCATAACTTCACTCAAATCCAAATTGTACCAAATTAAGTACTATTTAGTACTGTTCTTACACTTAGTACACATTTCGAAAACCAACTCCTTTTATCAAACCGAGTTCCCTAACTTAATAATTATACCAAATATCTTAATTTTGGCCCTACCCGTGCTCATAATAGCAAATGGTACCAAATATAGTACTTGTTCGTACTTCTACCACACTTTTAGTTCGAATTTCAAAAAAAAAAAAAAAAAAAAAAAATTAAAGCGTTTGTCCTACACCTCATCAGCGATCTTCATCCCAAATTTTCTATTCGTTTGACCAATACAATGGATCAAATTTTTGGCACCTTTTAGTAATTTTAATAACAAAGGGAATTAATAGAGTTCTACGTCCGCCTCTTGACACTAAGCTACCTCCTTACAATTTTCAGGAATACCAGCAAAGCCATTCTAATTTTATAAATAGTATTGCTAACACGACTTTCTTTTACATAAAGAATTCAAATCTTTATAACAAAACTTGGCAAAGTGGGTCATCCTTTGTGTAGGGTTAAGTCTATAAAAACTACCCTAACCCTTTCAGTGTCAATGAAAATTTTTGTCGAGATAAAAATCTGAAATTCCGTACTAATTTACTAAAATGTGCTCAGAAATTCGAAAACGAAACTAATAGAATAGAACTGCAATATTTTTAAATAGCGAACGTGTCTGTTATTAAAAAATATAAAAAATAACGGTCCGTAAGAAAAACAAAAAATGGCAAAGAAAGAGAGTACTTTTAAATGTCAAATATATTTGACAAAAACACTGAAAGGGCTAAACAAAGTTGTTTTTTGAACACCCCAAATATTTTTGTGGTTATGGTCCACAAACTGAATCCAATCAAAGCCACTTGGAGTTCTCGACACGATATATTTGATGTTACCCACAGTAATTTTAATGTGATTTTCGTTGAATTCGAAAATAAGTGCCAAATTTGCCAAGTTTTTTTATGTACCAAAACATATGATATTTTTCATGATATATATTATAATGAAATTTGATCTAGAATATTTCTTTCTTTGACAGCTTGCCCTAAAAATGATGTATAAAGGCAGATTTTGACTTGGTTTGAAAACGTGTTAAATTAATAGTAAAAAAGCAAAGTTAATTTTTTTTATTTTTAGTACATAAATTTTGAATGTAATTTTCATAAAAACTATTGTACCTAGGTATATAGTTTATACTGAGATTTATAATGTGTAGAACATTTCTTCCTTTGACAGCTTCTCCAAAAATGAAGGGTAAAGGGAGATTTTGACTTGGATTGAAAATGGGTTAAATTAACATTAAAAAGCCAAATACGTACTTTCACTTCTGGTACATGAATTGCGAATATAATTTTCTTAAAAACCATTGTACCTGGATATATGATTTGCCTCGAGATTTATAATGAAATCATGTGTAGAATGTTTCTTCCTTTGACAGCTTCCCAAAAAATGAAGTAAAAAGGCAGATTTTGATTTGGATTGGAAATATGTTAAATAAACAGTAAAAAAAGCAAAGTTAAAGTTTTCATTTTTAGTACATAAATTTCGAATGTAATTTTCTTTAAAACCATTGTACTTGGATATATGATTTGCCCTGAGTTCTTTAATGAAATTTTGTGTAGAATATTTCTTCCTTTGACAGCTTTCCAAAAAATTAAGTATAAAGGGAGATTTTGGTTTGGATTGGAAACGGGTTAAATTAACATTAAAAAAAGTAAACACAAATTTTTTTTAGTACATACATATTGAATGTGATTTTCACACAAACTACTGTACCTAGATATCTGGTTTATTTCAACATGTTTAGTGAATTTTTCTGTAGAATATTTTTTCTTTTAACATCTTCTGCCTAAAATGAAATTTTATGTTACTTTCAGGCGTCAACTCGAAAAAGGTTGACTTAAATATGGTCAGACAAAAATTAGAAAATATTTTCGCCTTTTTGGCATTATTGATGTAAATATTTTCTTGATATATTCTGGACATAAGTATATCTGTTCCAGGGTGACCTATAGTGAAATTTAATGACGAATATTATGACATCTTTGACATCCTCCTTTTACAATAGTGCTTAGTAGGAGGTTTTGGTAAAACTCGCATAAATTCACTAACTCTAAAATGCGTTTAGTTAATACATATGAATTTCTGGCATTTAGTTTATAGTTTTGACATCTTCTAGGACCCGCAACAGAATTTCATGACAAATAATTTTGTAGAATATTTTGATTTGCTCCGATCCCATTTAAATGGAGTTTTTAGAGATATATTAAAAAAGGCCCAAAAAGACCCCTTTGATGACTCGCTTGAGGATTAAAATTTGCCAACAAAATAATAATTGTATTATTATCAATAATATTACTGATATTACTGAAAACTTTAATGACATTTTAATTTTGAAAGATCCAGTTAAGGCCCTTGTGTAAAAGTCGCCTTATTAATCTAACTCTTTGCTGAACTTTAATATAATGTTTTTTCTTCCTCTTTTTTTATTTTTTCTTGTTTTTGTTGTTATTGTATCTATGCAAATGTTCACCTAGAATGCACACATTCGCAAACACTATTCTATTCCCCCAGATCTCTTTGATATGGTGTTCTTGGTAAAATGTACTTTGCACCTGTCCTGTCCTGTCCTGACTATCAACCCATAAACATTTTGAAATGCTTTGTAAACAAAACTAAAGTAAAATTCTTGTATTTTTCACATTTTTTTTGTTTCAAACACAATACTCACTTCATTGTATGTGCGTGCAAAGGGCATTTGTATCCCTAATATTTGTGTACGACAAAAAAAAAAAAAAAAAAACACTGGCAGACCAATGGATGGAATGATAGTAAGGTTTGCAAAATTTGTAATGACTTTTAGGGTACATTGTCTCAATTTGAGAAAGTTTCTCCAGTTTCAATGGGACTTAATCTGCTTTGTTATAATTCTGGTGTTTTTTTTTTTCTTTTGCAAAATTATTGATAAATGTATGCGTGTATACTTACATTTTTGTATTTTTTTTCTCTCTGTGAGAAATTTTTCTGCAAAAATTCAAGGGAAATTTATAATCTGAAAGGAAAGAAAACAAATAGGAAAATTTAGTTATTTAAGTGTTAATATTTTAAATCCATAAAATGAAATCAGGAAGGATAACGGCATTAAAAACTACAAACAGGACACACACGCACACCCATACACAATTAGAGAAAATTATGAGCCAAGGCAGAACAATAGTGTCCCTAATGCCATAAACCTTTTAAATTTTAATCCACCAGATTAACCAGTTTTTGCCGAAAATGCTAGCCTTTGTTTATGGCATAGATTAAAGATTAGCCTATCATCATTGGTGCAGCTGAGGGTGTTTTTGTTGGTGTTGTTGTTTAAATTCTCATACAGGTGTTTTTTGGCAATGGAATTTTTCTCTGAATACCGTTGTTTGAATGGATTATTTGTTTCTACAAAAATTTTTTGCTTGCAGACATCGACTGATTTTTATTGTATAGATAAATTTGTTTTCAAAATAGTTTTCATTGTAAAAACATACAAAAAGGATGAGTTGTCTTTGCATATTGATTGAAATATTAGGAAAACATTTTTTCCGATTTTTTTTTTCATTTAAAAAATAATCTTTTATTCTATAGTGAACCATATGAAAATCCAGATTTGGCAGATTAAGAATTATAGGCGCTCAAATTTCCAAAAAATGGGAGAATACCATGAAAAAGGTTTGCTTTGAATTGAAAGATTATTTATTTATGTATTCAATATAAAATTTTAATAGTTCAGGGAAAACCAATCAGATTTGGTAGATTAGGGATAACAACAGCCAATCTGGGTGGTATTCGTTTAGTGGATCAAAATACAGGGTTGCCCATATTCGACGGACCTTTGGGCCCTTTGGGCCCATTCCAATCGACGAGGCTTGTCCGCAGGCCACATTCTTTGCGTCAATTGAATTTTGTACGGGAACAAATGCAAATCAATGCGAATACTCCGTTGTAAAGTGGACCGAGCCATGCCCAACTGCTGAGAAAGGCGTTTTTGGGATGTTCTTGGGGACTTCTCAACACTGGCTCGTACGGCAGCGATATTCTCGGCCGATCGCCTTGGTCGACTTTTATATGGCTTCTTCGGATTAGAAAGAGCCTTACCAGTCGAAGATTTTTCGTATAAAGGCTTAATGGTGTTCTTAGAAGGCGCACTTCTAACATTTTTTAATGTTTTAAAAGCACGTTGAGTTATCACAATTGACTTCTTCTGTTGAATGTAAATTTCAGAGCGCTCGCGTGGCACGTATTGGTTCATGGTAAAAATCTGCTTGGACTGACGCTTTAAACGCGGTATGTCATTAAGCGATGTGACATCTCTGTTAAAAGTTATGGCGTTGCCAGATGGGTCCGTCGAATATGGGCAAGCCTGTACCAAAAGGATTTTGGGTTCCCAGGCCAAACTTTTTAGGGCCTATTTTATACATAGCCTTGCTCATACACAAAGGGTCTCAAATGCTTTGCTATATGCTTCCCAAAATTTATGATAGAACTTTAACATTTTTTACAGGAATGTGGGTCACATCTTGAGAACTTGAAATGTACCGTTATGTGGGGACTGTACCAAAATATATACTTTTTGTTTAGTTTTTTCTGTAAGATGGTTTTCTACCCCCAAAATAGCCTAATTACAAATGTTTACCCAAATCGATCAGGAAATGTGATCAAGACCCTCGAAATAGGTAAATTCAGAAAGCACCTTGATGTGGTCGGTACTCTAAAACTTTGACCAACATTGAAAATATTTTGCGAAGAGGTTTTCTGCCTTGTTAAGAACCAATATGCCAACTAAGAGTCAAATCAATTGAAAATTGTGGCAAAGACCCCGGTGAAATTAGAAAAATATGGTTGAAATGAGAAAAAAAATACTTTAAATCGGGGTATACCCTTACATGGGGGTTATACCAAAACATGATCCATATTTTGTATAAATAATATTGCGAAAATATTGCGAAGCATAGAGGAAAATATTTGAGACCCTTTGGATAAGGAGATGTAAACAGATTTGACCGGAGAACCCACAACACTTTTGGAATTTTGATCTACTAATCGAATACTATCCTTCCCCTTAGAATTTCCACCCAACAGACCATGACACGAAATTGGCGCCCAATGTTATTTGTTCTCAATTGTCCATATTTCAGATTGTCCATATGATTTTTCAATTTGCTAAAAATGTTTGTAATTATGGTGAAGATGAAAGTTCCTGAAGAAAGTAATAGGAACCTCTAGGAAACTTTTCTCCGAAATCATGTTAATTGTTCTTTGCTGGGCAGGTAGGAATTCGGTATTTAAAATCTGAAAAAAAAATACTGTCACTTTTACACCCTATGTTTTATATTGTTCCTCGATTTCAAATGTAATATTGAGTGTAATACAATTTTCGAAGATCAGCCAAAAGGCTACCTCCTACCTTTGGACTTTTATATAGCATTACCCTAAATTAAAAAGATATTTTTAGACATGCCTAGATGTTGTTAAGAAGTAAAAAGCCCTGTATTTGGTATTATGTGAACGCATATAGCTAAAATGGATTCATAAGGAGGTGCTTTTTGAAATGTGTGCTTAGTGTAAGAACTTTTGTAAGTAGCACTAAATTTGGTACAATTTGAATTAGGGTGAACGGATGGAGATGGAAATTTGAAATATTGATATTGGGGTCTCTGTACAGGATTGATATTTGAAGGTGTTTTTGGAAATATGTACCAAAAAGTTCGATAAGCACTAAAAGATATTGAATTGGGTATTTAGGGAAGAAGGGATAGAACTGAAAATCTGAAACCCTTTAATGTTTAAGATTGAGTTTTTAAGGTTGATTTGGAAATAAGTATGGAAAGTTCGAAAATACTAAATGATACTAGATTGGGGATATAACATTTCAAAATTTTGGTATAAGGGTCATTTATTGTAAGGTGGGGTTGACGTACCAAAAAGTACGAAAATTACTTATTTGTATTAAATTTGGTATTTAAGGAAGGGAAATTTGAAAATTGAAATGAGAGTCTTTGATGTTGCGTAGGATTGGGTTTCAGGAATGGATGCTGATAAACAAAATTATAAGTGCACTAAATTTGGATGAGGGTAAGGTAAGAAATTTCGGGATTTAAAAAATGCGTATTAAATAAAAAACTGAAATGAATGGTACAAAATTTAGTACAATTTGTTTTTGGATAAAGGAAACTTTTAGCATTGAAAAAGGTCTTTATCACAATTATATAAAAAACAATAAATGGTACTAAATTCGGTATTTAGGGGAGAGTTAGAGCTGGAAATCTGAAAGGGTTTTTGATGTTGTGCGGGATTGATGAACCAAATATATGGAAATTAGGAGGTGGTTTTGGAAATGTGTATGTGCTAAATTTTCGTGTTGAGTGAATGGGAAAAGTTGGGAAGGCGCAATATAGTATTGAAATGTGTACAACAAGTGTACGAAATGTCCTAAACGGTACTTAATTTAGCATATTGCATGAGAATAGAAGTGGTACTATGTATTTTGGTATCAGAATATCTATGAATAAGATGCGTTTATATATGAAGTCGAATTTGGACGTTCCAACTGTAACTTGAGATATGGATTTTGGTTATTTTTAAGGTTTGGACCCACTTTTCAATTAAACCAGCTGTTATTTCAAGTTTGCTGTGGGCAGATTTGCTCCTCTAAAAAATATAAAAATGTTTGGACAAAATCAAATTGTCCCTTCGAATCTCGGACAGCCATTGTAAAAAACCTGAGAAGTCTGGTATTAAAAATGGAATAAATCGCTCCAATTTGCAATCAAACCAGCCGTTATTTGATGTTTGAGTCCTCAGTATTTCCCCTCTCATAAAATATCCAAAGTAGATACACTTATTGGCGTTTTGAATCCTGGATTTTCAATTTGGACTAAATTTCCAATGTTTGGATCAAATCAAATTGCGCCTTCGAATTTCGAACAGTTATTGTTAAAACTTCTGAAATGTCTGGTATTGAAAATAGTAAATATTGGTTGAATTTCCCAATTATAAAATGTACTGTTCAAAGTAGACTGATTTACCTTCCCACAAAAATATTCAAAGAAATTTCACTTTTTTGTGTTTTTCGGCCATGTAACAAACTGTTATTTAACATTTGGAGATCTTGGTCGATAGGTTAACTCCTCCAGAAAGCTATTCAATATAGGTATGGGATAACGGAACTGTTGTCCAGCTCGTTCGTAATGTTTAGTTAACCTTAATTTGACTCCAAAATTACAAAGACACAATTTTTGCAGATTGAACTTCAAATATTTACAATTTTTACATCTAATAAGGGACAAACATTTATCTTGTCTTTTCAGCCATTCAGTTACATGATAACTAAAAAAATAACTATAACTCTCTTATATCATTTTATATAATATTTCAAAAGTCAAAACATTTATTTCTGACAAAAAAAATGATTAATATGCTAAGAAAATAATTTCTCTTGTATTCTGGAATTTTGATTTATTTTGTTGTTTATATTGAAATTATCTTCAATTTTCCACCCTCCTCTCCAAAAAAAAAAAAAAAGAAAAAACTGGCATCAACAAATGCCACATACATAAATGAGCCTTCCACTTTTTGTGTAGTTTAGAAATAATTAGCCATACATTATTTATGGATCGGTATATTCAAGTTATTATTTATTTTTAGAGAAAAAATTGAATAATAACAACAACAAGAATACGGTTATTTGAAACCGTACCTAAACACACCGACCGACATGCCTACATATAAACACGTGAGGTTGGGTTTTTTTTAAGAATTTTGTCTGGCTTTTATTATTTTTTTCTGCCTTTGCTATTGTCTGTCCATATTTCATTTTTGTTTCGTTACTTTTGCTCCTTTTTATATTTGGTTGGTCTCCTTGTTTTCCTGCTGCCTGGCTGCCTGCTGTTATGCCATAGCGCACACAATACAAAAGACCAGAAATTTGATACAAAACATATGTTGATGTCCTGGTTGTATCCTTTGGTATGTATGAAACAAAAAAAAAAAAAAAAAAACAGCAACAACAAAAAT